CCCTGTGTCCGCGTGAAAGTGGCCCGTCAACAGAAAGAAAGCATTCCTGTCAGTAGATCTACGTATGTTGATTTCCTTTTCGGGCAAAAAATATTGATGAGGCAGCAAAGTAATTCGAAAACGACATATACATGTATGCAGGAATACTTTACACAGATTTGCCTCTGGTGTCCCCCGGGTTGGGAGAGCGCAGGAGAGAGAGAAGAATTGAGGACTACCCTGCGTTACGACTCCCAGAAGAGGCTGTGTTGTCATTAACGACGGCCTGACATGGCATGGACGTCAGGGCCCTTTGCAAGAGGTATGTCAATTCGGGTCCTATTTGAATTCAATGCAAGCAAGGTATCAAGCTCTTGCTTGCCCCTGAGGCCAGGTCGGATAATTTTGGGTGAACATGGATATATTCGGGATAAACCAGAGGATCTGCTATATGTGTGCGGGCATTTCAGGATTGTTCATGCATACGCAGCTTGTATGTTTCAAGCTGCATGCGACGGCTCAATTACGACACCCCACAGAATGTGCAGGAGCAAAAGGCTTTGTTGCAGGCCGTTTCAAGACTCATGTTCTGGCTGACGTCCTCGAGTGGAACTGAAGACGTGGGACGAGAATGCTCCGAAGTCGATGACTGTCTTGAAAGCCCTGTGATAGGTCTATCTATATTTTTACTTTTATTCATTTTCGTATTCAATTTTCATATGGCCCTAATGCAATTCCTGGGTTTGTTTTCGTATCTCTAAATTGCACAGATAGCGGCGCTCGTCTCCTGTGCCATTACGACCGTATAATGGCAACGCTTGGAAGTAAATAACTATATGCAAATCCGCGAACTGTAAATCTCGAACGGGCAAACATTTATTGTTGTGCCTTTCAGTCGTGTTGTTAGAGCGCGTAGATTGAGATGGAGTAGACAGCATCTTGATGCCTGTCCGCTGCGATACACCTGACGAGAATATAGTTAACAGGAACAAAAGGCTTCGTAGGAACGTAGTGCTGTCATGACTATTTCTCTTCAATATTTAGCGTGTGGTTTTCTCGAATCGAATAAAAGCAATCCTTTCAGTTGTCTTCGCCCACAGAAGAAACCAATCGCGATGCAAAGAGATACATACCTCTTGCGATATCGCTGATGATCGAGAAAAGTTATGTGCCCAACCGTGAAACCACCAGTGACATGTCAACGGTCGGAGACTGGCTTCAGAGTGCAGCCGGAGTCTTCCCTGCAGCACGGAGCTCTGCCGGAGATGTGGGCCAGATACCGGCCCGGCCCTTTCTCCGGCCCCGAAAGTGATTTTGGTTCCCGGCTTATATTAAAGAAACCGGTCGTAAAGCTTGGCGCGAGCCACCATAGTGTCCCCTTGCACGGAAGACATTTGTAGTGGATCAACAAAGGTAGATATGTTACTACTGATCTTTGTGGTTCGGTTCAAACGACTTACTAAATGGTCTGCTTCTCACTCCAGGCCGACACGAGGTCTGTCCTGGCAAACTCTCATACGACGTCGGCATGAGAATGGGGCTTGCGGAGGAAGAAAACGAGAAAGGTGCTGGACTAGCACGGAGTAGATATGTCTCATATGGCGCGCAATAAGAGAAGGTCGATATTCGGAGTATTGTAGATTGCGGATTGAAAGCTTGACTTGTGGTATGTGTCGTATCGAGACTGCAAGACGAGCTCCTCCTTGAAGAAACGATTTCTCGATAGCCCTCGGCCAACTACTAGTGGAAGCACACCTTTCCTTCCCAACACTTCGTCCGTCATCTACTGCATATAATGAACATGGCACGTGCCTACGGGTTTTGCCCCGTCTCTGACTAGGCTGTCTCATCGGTTTTTGTTCCTTTGGATCGTATGTCGAAGTTTTTGTTGAACTGGACAGTTTACGGCTGTTTGTCCTAGCCAATTCCACTCCATGCTATTTTTTATACGAAGTACTCTCAAGAGGGACCACAAGCTTTCGGTCCACGACCGGAAGACCAGACCCTGGCCTCGGAAACGCGGTCATCACACAACTGATCGGCCTAGCCTACCAATGGTCGGTTTTGAATACGAGATTTATGCAACACAGAGGAGACCACACAAGAACCAACAAAGACGGGGGGGAACAGCGATAAGCTGAAAGGCGAGATGATGACAGGGACAATACGGGTAGGAAATGAGAAAACAACTGCTCCGGAAGCGCCCCTCTCGAGGTCCGGTAGTTGGCCGCTTCTGGCGGTGAAGAGGCGTTGAATTGGCGGTCGGCAATTGGTTGGTCTGGTGGTGGAGCCGGGTGACAACCAGCCGTCGCCAGCTGTCAGGCTGCGGGAGGTCCCTCAGCGTCGGATTGTCTGAACTATTCAGGAAGGAGCAGTCCTGGCACTGCCTCGTTCCTTGCGGAACACGGCGTACAGAGTATGTCGTACACCCTGCGGAATAGTAAAATGACGTCCGAAGCACACTTTCCCGTGCGAACATTGCGACGTATGAACCCCGAATTATGTCGGAACGAGGAACACTCCACCGACTTATGTTAGGTCCCCTATTTGTGGCTCCTTCCCCTCCGCGAGGGCAGACAACATGGCGGTTAGCGTCACAGCCCAGTTGCTTCTCGGACGCCGTTGCCGTTTATGAGTTGCGCTACCCCTTCCTTGACCCCTCCTGCCCTCCTTGGCCCCGACGGACCTGACGTCGATCTTGCCTTCTCTGCTCTATGGGCGTTGGAACCGTTTGCTCCTCAGCGGCTTCTTGGGGGGTTCTTTCCCTCGTGCCGACTTCCTGACATCGGAGCACATGTCTGTTGCTTCTTGATGTGGTCGTTGGGTCGTTTCGATTGTCTTCTCTATCTTCTTTTTGGTTCTTTCCATCCTGTCGCTCTTGCCTTGCCCTGTTCGTTGTGCCTCGCTCCTCCCCATCAATTGATTACAACGGAAACCCCAGCTTCCTGACTACTCTCTGGGGCCCGCCTTACCCTTTTTCTCGTGAAAAATACGACGTATTAATTGCCTCCCCCGTCTTTCTTCCCATCTCCCGCACGCTTCTTTTCCTCCTATGCAGGGCCTCCTTTCGCTTTGCCAGTCAATTTAAACCCGTCCCCTGTTTGGCTTTCCTCTCTTTTCTGTCTCCGTTCCCCCAATCCTCTTCTTGTCCCGCGTCTATCTATATCATGCATCCTTAAACAGCAGCAATACAAAAAGCAGTACTTTGTCATTACGTCGATGACATACCATTGCATAACGCCTCCCTATTAGTCCTTTGACTACCTATTAGGCGAAATCCCTGTGCGGCGCATTCCTCTTCACCGTTTTCCTGTGCCCCTTGCCTTTGCGCGTTCCCCTCTTCAGCTCGTCTCTGTGCTGCTGTGCCACGCAATCGCCTTGCCCCTTATCCCGTGGCTTGTCCTCTCCGTGCCCAGCCAACTAAAAGAACTCATCCGACACCACTCTTCGATCGAGTCGAAACCTGAGGAACTAAAGACGACAAAGGAACCAGAAACCCAGAAAACCGACCCCCCCTCTCTAGTCACGGTCCCTGGTCTTGGTATTCCCTTTTGCAAAGAGGCTCCGATTTTTACATCATATCTGCTCGGAAAAAGACACGGACGAGAACGCCGGGCATCTTCCAACCCTTTGTGCCAACTGCTACTGCCACAAAGCAAACATTGTCGTCGTCTCAAGGCGTTAAAAAATCAGAAAGAAAAAAAGACGAAAATACCCACGCCCCCCCCCCCCCCCCTTCCGGCAATCCCACCCCACTTCTTTTCATCGCCGCACCCCTTTTCTCTACGACCGCTCGCTGCTTTCTTTTCTCCCTGTTCGAACTCGCCTTGGTCGTTCGACAATAGATTCTCAGACTTGAAAAATCACACACCATCCAGCCAAGTTCTATCCCTCAATTGCGCGACCGCCACAACGACCCAATCGCTCAGTTCCATCTCCCAGGTCCTAGATTATTCGCTGCCCTGTCTCTTTATTGCGCCCTCATGGGCCCCGGTTAAGGCTCAACATATCTGCTGTCGATCCCCTTCTTTTGTCCGCAGAAATTCGTCCTCCCTGCACGACCTTGTCTATCCAGTCCCAAAACCAAGTTTTCCCGACTTGCCGTCTCCTCGCAACAGGGCGCGTACGACCTTCCCCAAACAAGATTCCGACATACCACATCGACTCCGTTCGCCCTTCTGCTCCCTATCTCTCCACACCCCTCTTTGCTCTCCTTCTGTATTGACCGAGAGCGCCCTGCGTAATTGTGTGCGCGTGCGTGCATTTCTTGTACGTGGGAAACCGACACATGATAAAACACCTAATTTCGACTCTTATACCTACGCAATCCTCCCGTGCGAGCCTGTTCCTCGCACATTCCTTTTCACCATGTCGGACTTCTTATCAGACCAGCCAGGTACGTGTCTTGTTTGGAATAGTGTGTGTATAGGCAAAGTGCATGCGTGGCGTGTGGCTAGCAGATCTTGGCCGCATTGCTGAGCATTGCATCGTTTGCCGACCGTCATGTATATGGGTGCAGCCCGAGCCGTGCTGCTGTGTCCTGAGAACCTGCCACCTGCAAGCAACGAAAGCAAGCATAGAAGTGTGAGAACAGAAACAGAACCCAGACGCGGACGAGGTCAACGAAAACAGAGCGCCTCCAAGAGATCACGGCCTGCAGATATCGACCGAGCCACGGCATTGCATATTCGACAGACAACAAGTCGACTGGGCACGGTTGTTCTTTCTTCGTATCGCCACCACCATCGCCAGACGTGGCATCGCCAAACGCAACCCCAACGCGCTCCAGCGACGGCACTTGACGGCACTCAACTCGGGACGAGGTTTTTCAGATCTTTGTCCGTCGCCTTGTCATTCGTCATCGACTGTGTGCTGCCGTTGCAACACCTTTTCCTAACCGCTGGTATTTTGCCAATCGAATTCCCAGTCTGTTCCAGGATTCCACCTTGTCTGAAACCGACCTGCCAAGGATCCAACATCCACAACGGAAACGTGCAGCTTTGGCCCTGCTGTCCCTTCTTTTACGTTTCCTTTTTGGACCAAACACTTCCGACCTTGCACTTTTCGCTCTTTCCTTCGATTCTCTTCTCTTGTCTGCGAACTCTCCAACTCTGATTCTTACCGTTTCTGTCTCTCATTGCCGAAATATCATTCGGCTCACAGCCTTCTCTCAGCTTGTCGAAGCCTGCTCGTGGCCTTTCGTCTCCGGAGTATCAGCTTGCTACTGTCGGATTTTACTTTTCTTTTTTAGACTCTGGACGCGTTGAACGACACCTTACTTACATATTCGTCTTCTGTTAGCAGACGCCCCAACGTCGCACCTCGCCTCCAACAACCCCTTCCGCACGCGTGCCGTTTCGCCATCGATCCCCAGCCCAACGTCCCCATTTCTTGATCCTGCACCGTCGACAACGTCCAACGGTCGACCTGTCTCGCGCAATCCGTTCTTGGATCCCACAAACGACAAACCCTCGTCATCCTCAAACGGCAACCTGTTGATTAGCCTCGACGATATGGCCGCTAGACCAGCAGCGGAGCGGTCGTCCTCCATTGACGATATATTTGTAAGTCACGTGGCCTTGCACCTTTTATCATTTGTATTTTTATATATTTCATGTATATGATGTATTTCTTTTTATTGGAATTCGTCGATTTTACTGTGCAGTGCTCGTTGCTGCCTTACGGGTTCTCGTTTGCGTCATACACGGTACACGGGACCATGTTCAGCGACCCCTCGTTCCTTCCTTTTCGGGTGCCACCAGCCCTCCTTCCCGTTGAAACATTTCTTTGGGAGCTTTGTTGTTTTTGTTTACCGCCTATTATGAACTCCCTCTGCTTCTGCCAAACCCACTTCCCTCCCCCTTCTTCCTTCTTTTTCTTCTTCTATCGTCTTGCACAGCGACCTGCTGAGAACGGCGACTAACCTGCTTGCAGACGTCTCTCACGGTTGAAGACAAAGCCATGTCCGCAATCAAAGATCCGAATACAGCTGTTCCCACGAACAGCGGCGAGCCGGCCAGAAAGCTCTCGGAAAGCCGTCCACCACGTCCGTCTGGTCCGCCAGGCAGCCGCCCAAGCCGTAGCGGCCGTGGAGGGCCGCTGCCGCCTCGCGCTAAGAACGCACCGCCGCAGCAGTCCGCTCCAGGCAACCACCGCCCGTCGCAGTCACAGGAGGAGGCCACAAAGCCAAAGTCCGGGGCCATTGGCATCGCCAAGGGCGAACCTGTTGGTAGCAGCTCCTCTGGCCGGCGCCCTTCCCAGCCAATTCGAGCACGTCGCAACTCGGAATCATCCATTGCCCCCGATGACAAGACGCTTTCCAGAGAAGAGAAGGTCCTCCGTGACCTACGCAAACGCGATCAGGAACAGCGTGAGCGTGGTACGGGCCGGCCTCACCGTCGAAACGACATCATCGACCAAATGGATGCCTCGAGCATCTTTGGCAACGGTACGTTCTCATTCTCACCTTGGATTGCTCACTGCCAAACGGTGGGATGGTTAGAAATGGGATGTGACCTGACTGAGAATCTAACCACATTGTAGTTTTCCATCACGACGGCCCCTTTGATGCGTTGAATCCCCACCGCAACAGGAAGGGCAGCCGCCGCGCTCCTATGCAAGCTTTCCCCAAGGACTCGCTCAACAATAGCATTGGCGGCTCTGGCCCCATCAACAAGCGGCCTGACCACCGGACCTTCATGGGCCAGGGAGAGGATGAGGCTTTCAGAGAGTTCTCCAACAACCACCAGCCTGTGTCAAGCGGCAAGATTGCTCCCGTCGGCGTCTTTGATCCCCTGCAGCGTGGTACTGCTCTCCACGGTGACCAGAGCCTCGGACTGGGAACCTCAACGTTCCTTGAGGGCACACCGGCGGCACGCACGACGATTCAGCGCCGCGAGGCTGAGCGGGCTCAAGACATTCAGGACAACCCACTGCAGCGGAAGAAGTCCCTTGCACAGCGCTTCCGGAGCATCAACAGGGGTCCACGCGAGCCTCACCCGGCCCGCGCCTTTAGCTCCGACAGCGGGCCGGCCTCGGCTGGCGCGACGTCAGGCAGATACAACAACGACACCGACCCCTTTGACGAATTCGACCCTAAGCGGGGCGAGGATATCATTACCGTCCGTAGGAAGAACTCTGCGGCGTTGCCAAGCCCATCGAGCCCACCTCGTGGTCCGGGTCTTGAGCGCCGGTCCACAACGGACGGCACGACTGCCACAGGATCGCCGGGTGGCGACAACGCGAACCCTACTACAACTGTTATCTCTAGTGGAGCCGGTGACGAATCTCAGCAAAAGCCGACAAGCCTTCTTGCTCGGGTAAAGAGCTTGAAGGGCGGTCGCCGGCCGGCACCTCCTCCTCCACCTCCGATTGCCAAAGACTCTTAGAGAGACCGGATTATTGCGAGGGCTACCAGGCGGGGTAGTTGCCGGACGTCTGAACGCAGCGGAAGTGAGGCCAGTGGCAACCCGACGACTCAAGACAATGGCAAATAGCCGAGGCGAACCAGGTTGCCCTGCTAGAAGGAGTCTTGTCACTGGGAAGACAAGAGGCTAAGAGGAGGGATAGGGGCTTATGTACTCTTTTCTTCTAGAAAGGAAGCATGGGAACCTCTCCAAAAATACCCCGAGCGAAACGAACTAAATCGCCCATGCACATCATGCTGCAATATGCAACTTAAGCGTAGGCGGTCCGGTGGCGAGGCCGGCTAAGATTGTACTCACACCTTGCTCTTTTTTGGTCACGCTTTGCCCACCATATCTCGCTGTTACTTTTTCGACTCGTCACAGACATCTGCGTGACGGGTTAACAAAAATAGGCACGTTTTGGGAGGAAATCTGGCGTTTTGTTTCTTGCAATACGTTCCTTTCCATTTCTTTTTGGTCGCCTTCTGCACTCTACTTGATTTTCATATTTTTCTTTGTTTTGGTTCCACTCTCACCGTCACTCCTTCCCAACTTTCTTTGTTAATATTCTACATAGCAATGAATCTGGAATGTATAAAGAATAGCCTTGTCTTTTCTTGTAATTTGATGCGTGAATGCACCTGATCCAAGGCAATGCGGGTGCTGGTGAACTTACACGTGACATTTTGTTAAGGCCGCTCTGGCGAGGGCTTTTTTTCATGTGTACAAAGTAGCACAGACGGGAGATGGATGCTCTTTCCCTGAATAAATGCTCACGCTTTCCTTTGTGAGAGTATATTGTACTTGAAAACTTTAGGGGTAAGGTGATCAATGTCAATCAACGGCAGGAGCGAGACGGTGGCTCGCTTCCTCACCCATTGGGTGAGCTCTATGGCCGAAACAGGCAAGCACTAATAAAGCAGCTAAACGCAAGTGCAACCAACGGCTCTGTGCTACATACACAACACTCCTCGCCTGACGGAATTTCACAGACACCTCCTTTCACGCGGTGCAATTGTTCCATCTGTATTACGAGAACGAAACCGCCCCTTTCAGACAGCGCAACAAGCTGACCGGTCGACCTTGTGCTCATAAACCTGCACAGAAGCTGGCCGATCTCCCGACACGCAAGACTCCGCCCACAAGCTTGTGTTAGAGGCAAGGGACCAAAGTACAAAAGTCCGGCTGCTGGTCAGGAGGATTCTTACATGTGGCAGCTCTCCATGAATACCTTTCCATCCCACAGCAGGCAGTCAATGGCTCGAGTTGACGTGGTCGACCAGCGAAGTGAAGAGGCTCGTGTTGCCCATGGTGAGCACAGCCTTGTCCACCACGATCTCGACTACCAGTTGCAACCAGAAGCAAGAAACTCTGGGGATGCAGCCGCTACCGCAGCAGCAGCAACAGCATCGGAATACTACACGAGCGGCTGTGCTCAGCTGGACAGTCGCATCTTTGGCGGTGGGATTGACGGCGAATTGACGGGCGGCCTGGTCGGCCTCAGTGCCGAAGGCGACGTCGGCATAGTGGTAGGCGGCCTGAACGCGTGGGCGCGTTGTGATTTTCTATCCACCACCTCCTACCTCTTCTAACATGCTTGCAGATATCGCTTCAGGTGGCCGTCAAGCACTTGTACCAGAATACGTCCGCCACGGCTCGATTGATCACCACGCTGCCTGTTGCCCATGTCATACGGCTCTTGAAAGGTGTTTTGAAAGGCACCCTGGCAGTGACATCGAACAATGGCACAAATGCAACAAGCCACGACGATCCTGGGCCCGAGCAGCGAAGGCTCGCCTCTGCATCCAAGGCGTCGATTCTCGGCCGTATTTTGATATCTCGCGTTTACGGACGCGAGGACCTTGAAGCTGTCCTGAATGAACTGGAGGCAGGCATGCCCTTCCAGCGGCTTTGGTCGACTGTCAACCGTCAACAAGAAGAAGGAGGCCTTGGACAAAGGATTGTGGCGGATAAGGCAGGGCAAGAGAGCCACCCGATTCCTGCAGAACAAACAGCACCTCCGAGTATCATTATCTTCACAGAGATGGACCACCACTTCAAGTGGATGCGTCTACAGAGCAACGGTGGACGGCTGTATGAACTCTATGGCCAGTTGATGCGTCGTTTACGAGCATTGGCTGCCGCCCAAGCGCGTACATTCTCATCAGACGCCACGAACCAGCGACTCATCTTCGTCCTCAACAGCACGATTACGTGGCGACCTGAAGAAGGACGAAGCAAAACTATTACGGCTGACGACGGCACCGTGGGTGGTGCAAACAAGCGACAGGAAGCTTCTCAGCCACAGACTCTCGACCCGGATGCTACGTATGGACTCGCCCTCGCGGCTCTCCAGCAACGACGCCATATCGACCGCCCGGATGTGTTTCGACTCTGCTGCAACGAGCTGGCTAGAGCACAATGCATCGAACCCAGGTACAAAACGCTCCTCGACTACTATTGTAGCCTCCACATCTGCCTCACGCGCCTTCCAGTGGATCTTGTGGATCTGTGGGGAGGCCGACAGGGCGGCAGTACCAGCCCTGCCGACTCGTCGCTGTGGGTGGCCACGGTCGAAAGCGACGAGAACGAAATCAGCCAACGAGCAACCGGCAGGACGACTGTTGCGTACCTTTCCAGTGGCATCGTTCAAGATGCGGCGCTCACATGAAGCGACTCGGAGACGATAAACAAAATTGATAAATGGATGTGCTCAGCTCTGGCTACATAATACACAAGCGGCATGGACTGCCAGAGACTATACTATTCTTGTTCTATACATAACCAACCGCCTTGAGAGGGCCACCAGGCGCGCGCTCTCGTTTCCACCCTTCCAGCCTACAACTTGGAACCGGCCTTGCGTGCCTTGGCCCTTTCTTGGTCACGCAGCAAGCGGCGCAGGATCTTTCCGCTGGGACTCTTGGGAATGATGTCAATAAACTCGACACCGCCCTTGAGCCACTTATACGGGGCCTTGTGGTCTTTGACGTGCTTTGCAATGTCACGAGCGACGTCGGCCTCTGGCTTTGATGCGTATGCCGCTGAGCGGACGACAAAGGCCTTGGGCACCTCGCCGGCGCTGTCGTCGGGCACCTGAATGACGGCCGTGTCCGCTACGGCAGGATGGGTCAGGAGGTGGGCTTCC